ATTAAATTAATTTATGAGACAAACGTGTCGTTGAACTTATCATACGATTCATTAATGACGCGTAAACTCAACACAACTGAGAGTTTTTCATTGTTATGAAATATATTGGTCTTCAATAGTGTACTCAATGTTATAGTGTATACGCAATGAATCGCATCGCATGGGAGAGACAAACACAGGATATAATGGTTAGACAAGTGAAGGCAATGAATACCAAAAGTGTATACGAGTGCCACAGTTATAGATGACAAGTGCTTGAAAGCCATCCATTGATTATATAAATAGCATGTAATTGAGGCTCAAAAACAAACTCTAGATAAAAAAAGAGGACACAAATGCTAATCACGAGTAATTTTCTAAACGTTTAATTAATGGCACTGCAAATGACTAACACTTATCTTTCAAATACAGAATTAAAGGCAAAAACTCTTGAGAAGAAGAGGAAGAAGAAAATGGAGAGAATAATGACAAAAAACTCGTCAAATTCTTGTCCGTTATTTACATTAGATTTGTGGCTAATATTTGCGCTAAAAATACAATATAAACGCTTTTCGACACATAAGCGATGAGAAAATGCATTANTTGCGCTAAAAATACAATATAAACGCTTTTCGACACATAAGCGATGAGAAAATGCATTATATTTGTCGTCATATTTATGTTAATCTCCAGCGGAGAGAATATAATGTTTAATAATAGCTAATACTTTGCGACACTAATGTCAATACCTCTCTCCCATATAATGACATCAATAGGATATCCACCGGTAGGACAGGTCAGTGACATCCGCTCTCCCGCCACAGCAGTCATGTTAGGCATGGGTCTAATGCTGGGCTTTCCGTATATATTAATGCGAGCCGTGTGTCCAACAGCGGTCACATCATTGGCTGCCGAACACGTATATAATCCTCCATCTGTTTCAATGAATATCATTAACGTCTTATAATAATGGCTCAAAACAATAGGCAATTATTACAGAGATTAGTCTTCACTTACCCTCAGATGTAATGCTAGATATATTGACATAACTGACGAGCAGAGCCTCGCGGGTCACATAATCGCCAGTCCTATACCGGGAACTCTCGGGCACCGGTATATTGTCGTACAGACGCCAAGTGACCTGAGGTATGGGATTACCGGACGCCACACACTGTTTAAATTCAATGAAAAATGTGATATTGTTTTAATGTACCGTCAATTGAATGTGTGCTCAAAATAGTTGGTTAATAAACAGAGAGTAAGTGTTTAATCAATTTATTAGAGAGAAAGTCGGACTCAAATTAACTCAAATGAGTAGTTAAT